GGTATATTTAATATCATGCATAATTATACTTAATATTATGCATAGAAATATACCGTATTTTCAGTTTAAAATTATATTCATCGATACCAAGGTTGTAAAATCATCTCTTAAATCATATGAGCGGCGTAAATAGCGGCATTAAAAATTTGAGAAACACGGCCACACGTCCTTTAAAGCAAAAAGTTGGATACTTTGAACTTCGGATGTATTCGGATGAGCATGATTACCAATTCGAATTGTGTACGTGTATATACGAGTGCGATAGACAGTGAAAGAGAGAGCTTGCGCGCGCGCGAGAGAGATAGAAAGAGAGAGAGAGAGAGAGAGTGAGAGAGATTGTGTGTGTGTGTATGTTAAGTAAATTTATCAAAAACCATATGCATGCGGTTACGCTGTTGATGCATCCGCGGAACTCTACTAGTCAAGATCGTTTACAAAGAAGTGTGAGTAACGACTACTGAGGGAACACATTGATTTCTATGCAATTGTCCGGAATTTTCTGTTTTTTTTTTCTAAAGTTATTTATGTTGATGCTGAGCACTGTATTACTGGCTGCATTACTTTTTCTGCTTTTCGTCGCTGCAGTGCCCGCGTATACTATAATCACGATGGTCGCATTCATTTCGCGATCGACTCTCGGTCACATCCACGTGACAAGGGAATCGACGTGCCTTTTTATTTTCTTCTGTTTTTTACCCTTGAAGTTTTTTTTACAATTAGTATTTTTCATTGTCATTTACCGTTATCGACATGTTTTATTTAAATAATATAATATTTGCTGTACGTGTGAACGACACATTACTATAAAATGTTATTTAACGAAATGTAGTAAATTCTTAGTTGTCTGATTTTTTGGAGTTTATAGAGTATTTATAGAGTATATTTTAAATAAATGATTTGTGTAAGAAGAATTATTCTAATAAAATTAAATACTTGATTGTTTATTTTTTAAGTGAAATATTTCATTTGATAATAACATGGTACAATATTTATTTGTAAATAATTTATAATATTAAATATGATTAAAAGTAATATATAATCATTTTATATTATATAGAAATATAATGTAAATAAAAAAATTTATTATATATAATATTATAAAATAATTAATTTTAACAATTTTTTAAAATTTTGAATTAATTTATAATTTTATAATTACTTTATATTTTATGATTTAAAAGCTAATGTATACTAAAGAAAAATAAAAGAATAATAGGAAAAAAAGTAGAACAATAAAATGGAATCTATCACTTGTTGCATTTCTAATTCAAATACTTTAGTGAATTTCATTAAATTATGAATTGTATATATGATTTTATTTATGTTTGTATATATGATATTGTATATTGTGTATATGACTTTAAAATATTTTAAAGTCAATTAATATATAATAGTCAATTTAAGATACTTTTTATTCTATTCTATTTCAATCATATTTGATCATATAAATTAATTACAATATTATTTAATATTGCTATCATATTAAATAAATCCATACTTTAGATGATTTCGTTTTATTATACATGATTATCAATTATATTTCTAAACTATTGCATGAATAATTAATTATTTTTTTTTACATTTTTGTAATGAGTATTTTTGTGATATTTAGTATCAATCATCGTGTATTTATATTTTTATATTTAGTAAAGTAAGAAAATAGAAATTTGTTTGATATTTAAGATAAATTTAAAATATTTGTTTTAATACAATACAAATAATTTTATTGTTGTAAAATAAAAAGTAGATTTAAACATTCTCAAATTTCCTTTTAAATATCATTAAATAAGCGAATAGTATAATTAAAAAATATAGTTATTATTTGTAATTTTAGTAATTTTATGAATACATTTACATAATATATGATATATTTAAATTCAATCAACATATTGTTATTTAAAAAAATTTTTTAAAAAAAATGTTTGTGAAATAATACATATATATTTCAACATATTTTTATTTTCAAACATATTTCGTAATTGCTACTAGTAATTGCAATTGTTATACTTTGTGATTCTAAGTAACTATCTTTGCGAAATTGTAAATTTTGATACCATAAATAGTTATATACCTAGTATGTAACCAATAATGGTAGACAGAAGTAATTTTATTTTAGTAATTATCATTGAGTTTGGGTACCGGCAATTTTTTAGTTTAAAATAAAAATTTGTACTTTTATTAACGATACAACCATGACTCACAGTAATATGTTTACAATTTACTCACTAACAAACGTTTTCTAAAACTGACAAAGATATAGTTAATTTATTTTTATCGACAAATCTTGTATATAAAAATATATGTTTATATATAGACCTTATACAAATATCTTATGAATTTAATGTTTTGTAATAATGAATTATTTTATTAGTAATTTATAAGAATAAAATTGTTAGATATAGATAAAATTGTTAAAATGAGAATAAAAAGAATAAAATCATGCAAGAATAATTTAATTCAAAATTTATCTCGAACAAACAGATAAGGTTTTAAAATTATTGTATAAAATTTTTTTTATAAAATAATGTATATTAATGTATATCATCGATTATAAATTAACAATTTACAATTTTAAATTATCATAAATATATATATGTATTTTATTCATGTAACAAACAGATTTAAAATGCTTAAGTAAAATACCAGTAATGTATGTTCAAAATTGTTAGGTTGAATATACGTATCATCTTTTTTTATTACATAATTATACGGTATATTCTAATAATATTTGTTTGTAATATTTTTTATAGTGAAATAGCGCGTTATAAAGAAATCTATTTTTCTGAAAATATTCGATAAATATATAGATAAAATAGTTCTATAAAATTATATTTATATTTCTCTTTAGAATTTAGATTTTAAATAATTTATATTTTATATGATTATAAATATAATCATTTAAAATATGTTTAACGAACAAGAATTTTATCCGCCATTAGATACAGATTAGTGAATAAGAACGTAATATCACAAAATCTGTTAAACATATAAATAATATAAATGTTTGGAGTTAGCTTATTATTGAATAAGAGTAATGACAATAGTATTAAACGAACAACAAAAATTAATGAACAAGATCACTATCAGATTTCATTACTAGTTAAAAGATCAAAACTAAATTAATTGCTAGTTTAACTACAATTATTTCTTTCTCTCTCTCTTTCTCGCTCAATCTTAAAGCCAATTAAATATCATTAAGTAGAATAAAAATGAGAGGAAAAGACAAAACAATTATTAGAATTCATAAAAAGTTTAAACCTTCATAGAAATAAGAATCATCATACACGTAGGAAGGAGTATCCTATTAGAATGGAGTGGATGAAGGTAGGTGTTAATTGCAATTGGAAAGTACTTTCTTTAAGGATTATGTCACCCAGAAAATCAAGCGCTCGTCTCGATAAGGAGCCCATTCATGCGGCTTCTGCGCACCAGGAAAAGCGCGCTCGATTTTTATCTTTCACCCTGTGTACAAAAAAAACAACCAACCGTTGTCGCAGGTTCACTTTCGCTCCCTATATAGGCGATACGCACTATGCGCCGGCATCTCTCTTAGGTCTTCGACGTTTAGTTATCTCTACTAAGTTTTGTTTCAGAATCGATGAAGATAAAGCGCGAAACTACGACGATTGATAAGTCGACGAATGCCAAGGACGAATCTGCATGATCCTTCAGTCGTGTTAAGTATCGTCGGCTTTTGTTTTATTAAGAATTATTCAGTAAACTTTTTCTACCGCATGCCTCGCGATATTGCTTCCTGTACTTTTTCATACTCGACTGTACTTTCTAACGCGACATTGGGTGCACAGTAATTTAGATGATTATAATTTTAGATTCTTCGATTCACGTTGCATTAATGGAAATGCCATCGTCAACACTGTTAGTAAAGTTAATGTACTATTCATGTGATCTGTCATTCGAAAAACAAGTTTTACCGAGTTGCCTCCTTTTTTTTATTAATGCTAGTCATAATTTTTCTGATTTACTGTTTGAATTCAATTCAATAAATGTACAACCGTGGCAAAAAATTCACAACTGTAGCTCAATTAAAGCTCATAAGCTTTAATTATTTAGAATAAACGCTTATTGCCTTTTTAAAAAAGAGAGTTTAAAACAATGGAAATGACAGTTTCGATGTATTGTAAAATTAAAAAGATAAAGCCTAGGTAAATTATACATTAATGTTTGATGGTCAATTATCAATTGACATCAATCAAGTTGATGGCCGACTATCGATAACAATTAAAATTAATTGCAGGATTTTATTATTCGGTAGAGAATTATTGAAATTATTCATTTATTCTGTTATCACATAAGTGTTACAAGACTTAAGTATAACTATATGTTCCTACACAATTCTTCGAATTATATATACTGTTGCATTTGTAAGTTATTTTAATTTAATTTTTAATTTTTGTACTAGATACTAGTGATAATAAGTTGCGACAAACATCTAATGAAGTTCAGAAATCAATCCATTTCATCAAATCAAGATTTCTTACGTTAAATAGGTGACATACGCATCAGCCTTATAATGTCATATTAGTATGAATTTCATGATTATTATCTCAATTTTTTATGGAAATCTAATACAGAGGATAATGTTAGATTATTCGAGATAAAGGATTTTAGCACAGATAACATTAATTATGTGTGACGTTTTATATACTGGTATTCTAAATATTTAGTTGAAATTATGACCAATATTTTACAATGAAATTCCGACATTATGCCAAAATTATAATTCTCGTATTATATCCTATAAATATAAATTTATATTTCTGGAATATTTTTGAACTTTATATTATTATTTTATGAACTATATATTTTAAATAAAACTTTGTTTAAGCCTACCTTTATTTACGCTTGTAAGTTAATAATGAAAGTATGTGAACCATACTTTCTTAAATGTGATATCATAATCTATATTATTATAAGAATATCATAGCAGATTCACCTCATGAATTTATAATATAACGATCCGTGCATGTTTTTAATTACAGCCGGACTACTATCGTGACGCGGTGCACTTCCGGTGTATAGGTGCCGGTCCCCAATACCGCTTAGAAATTCCTCATGCCAAGCTCGATTATACGGGTACTTACTCGGTACTCGCTAAGAACGAACATGGCGAGGCCAAGGCCGTGATATCCTTGCAGATTTATGCCAAAGGTGGGTATAATGAATCCTTATAATGTATGTACACATACTTTGCATTAATGGATTTGTAAGGATTCAATAGCTCTTGATTATTTCCAAGATTTTTTTATCTTCGTATTTTACAATTGTAAATAGATGTATAATTCTGATTTAACAAGAGTTCTCTTTACAATCTTACGCTTCAAATCTTTTATTATTTAGTTTTAGGATTTATTTAGCTATAAGATCGTACATTATGTGAACGAAAGATTTTTCTCACGCTAAGAATGGTGCTGTAGTTTTATTCAATTAAAATCCATGTTTGAACGTTTGTTCTAATGATCTAGATATTTAATAGAATCAAAAGTATGTACTAACAACACAATTATAATAAATAACATTTCTGCAATTATACATACAAAAATCCTTGTAGTTTATTAAATATTTTGGATAAAATTATTCCTTGTTTATTATATATTTTTTTAGTTTCGTTACTAAATTATTGTATTTTTTTAAACTAACATATTTTAGAAAATTAAAACATTTTTATCACTTATCAAAACACTGCATCATAATTTTAATATTTTTAGTATTATAATTAATATTTACTTTTAATCATATAATTTAAAATATTAAAAAACATTAATTTTTTTTTTAATTAATATTGTAAACAAAGAAAATAATTACACTATTAATGAATTTTCATTTTATTAATTAATATTTTATTATCAATATTTTTTAAATTCTCATAAAAATAAACAAAAATATACGTTTTCTATTCTACACTATAATTTATTTAACTATCAATAAACTTTCTTAACTGTGCTATGCTAATGTATAACCAATTAAAGAGTGTTGGATATGTGAAAAATTATTAATTTAAATAGTTCCAAACGTCATTATATGTTTTAATTAATGTAATGTTTACAAAATTTTCATTCTCAAAATTTCATTCACAAAATTATCATTGAAATAAGTATAATTTTTGAAAATTAATAAAAATAACACCTAAATGAATGTAACAGTAAATTAAAAATATGTATAATTATTTATAAAATCACTAAATAAGCTTATTATACTTATAAGTATAATACATATTATATTTACTTATGGCATACTAGATTTCTTTTATAATTCTAATGTAAGAAAAAATTTTATTTTAGGACAAGGACGTAGTGACAGTATGGATCAAATGAACGTCAAACGGGGGTATTATATATAATTATATTTAAAAATACAAATGATTAAAATTCATTATTATATTTATATATATATATATATATATATATATGCAATGACTTTAGAAAGGTTCTTAGTGCTCCAATCATTAAAACGGAACTCAAGGATATTAGATGTTGCGATGGGGATGCCGTTACTCTTGAATGCAAAGTCTATGCACCGTCAGAGCCACCTATTGTTCGATGGGAAAAATCTGGAAAAGTATATAAAATATTTAAATAAGATTAAAATTTATTTTCATCAAGGGTAGTTTTAATGGCGAAATTAAGAAAAATAAATTATTATAATACAGAGTATAACGGTTAATTTTAATATTCAGTAAATATCACTGTTTATGAATAAATCATTATTCTACTTAAAATAAAGTTTATTAAACATAATTTTATTTTATAGTTTAATTTTACTGCATATTATTATGAGATTACATTATGAATTGATTAATTCTATTTGTCCGTAATTAGAATAGTACAATTTTAGAATAAAAGTCCATTTAAACACACTAAACACGTTCACCTATACATATCATGCTATGCTATTTTTAAGAAGAAAATATACGTAATCTTTTAATTATATATAGCCGTTGTCGCTGGAAGGTGATTTTTCATCAGAATTTGATGGCGAAAATGTAAAGCTTATCATTCAGCATATTTATCCCGATGACGAGGGTGAATATACATGTATTGCGTCTAACGAACTCGGCAAAGCTTTTACTTCTGCTTGCATAATTGTTGATGGTAAATATTCTGGTAATATTGATTATTGAATTTCAATTATTTTTTAACAAAAGATATATATCATTAAAATAACTTCATTTGATGTCAAGTTATACACCTGGATGAGTTTAATCAAACAGATTAACATATATTTATAAAATTATTTCAATTCGTGCACATTTAATTTATCTTACATTTGATCAATTAATACATAAAGTTTAATGTAGATATAAAATATTTTACATTTCATTAGGCGTCTATATAACTTTTATAAATATTATTTTTCAATCAAACCCCGATTATTTTATAAATATAATTTTTTTTATTATATTCAATGTGCATTATATATGAAATGTTTATACGTTATATATGAAATACTTACTTACGTTATATATGAAAATATATGTAACTAAAATTACACGTATTTCGAATGCATATTACTCAAACATACATATTAAAACGCCGATTAATAAAATTTCAATGGAAATGGGCTATTAAAGCTTATTAAATTGTATTAAAATGTATTGAATCGTCCAAGGCTGTGTACAAAATAGTTTTTGCTTATGCATTAATTTTATTGTTTTAAACGTTAGTGCAATTTTCTTGAGTGCATTAAATTATCTTCATTGATTATTTTTCGTTGAGAAATTATATTTAACAATAAAAGAAATTTTCTTAATTTCCAACATTCAATCATAAAAATTGATTAAAATAATTATCATAAAAAACTCAAGTGATTACATGGTATGATTAAAAAAAATATGTATTTGATATTTGAACAATATTATTCTAATTCAAGAAAGTATACATAGATATTTTTAATCACTAAGCAAGCTTCAAATAAATCCATATTTATTAAATTTTAGTGCCAGAGGGTAAAGAAAATATTATTAGTCAACCTCTTCTCACAAAGCCTCAAAGTCTCCTCTCAACTAATTCGACTCCAAGATCTACACCAAGATCGACACCAATCAGAAGCTTATCTCCTGCTGTTTCATGTAAAGAAATCTAATTTTAATATTTAATAATGAAAAAAACTTGTTCATAATTATAAGGACCATTATAGTATTTGACTTATGATATGATGCATCGAATATTATCGAGAAAAGCTTTCTTTGTAAAATTCTTTGATTCAAATAAAAGATATAAATTTTTTCTTTATAATTAAGATACGGTTACTAATACCAATGGATATTTAAATGCTAACTAATGGTATTTATAGTATATTCATTAAAATATCAAATTATACATATAATGATTAATAAAGTTTATCTAAATGAAAATTAATAAAATAATATATCAAATTTAATCGGAATTTCTTAAATGTATTTGATATTATAAATTATAAAAATTGAAAAATTCAATTATGACCTTTTAATAATTTGTTGGGATTCTATTTTATTACAATAAAATACCTGTTATAGAATTTTGTAATTTTGTATTTATATATCCTAATTTTAGTTTACTTTTTATTTTTATTTATATCTCTAATATTTATTTATTTTTATGTTTTAATTATCTTCCTTTTTTTATCTGTAGATGTAATCATCATAGTCAAATTTTGAATTCAATAATGTTTATTAAATACATTTAAATATTTAATATTGAGGTCCGTACAATTCAATTGCTATTATAATGGAAATATAAAAAAATTATAAATAATAGTTTAGTTATAATAATTAGTCAAACTTATAATAAGTGATTCGTCTTTTGACTTGAAATTTGAAATGAGAAGAGAGGTCATGATTTCACATTTTAAAATCTATAATAAAATGAAATCTATATTAAAAGATGCCAATAATAAAAAATTAACTGCTATTAAAAAAAAGTCTATATGAACATTTGGTTGTCGATTAACTGTTTACGATTAATAAACATTTATTATAGGCGGTCGTGAATTAAAAGCGATAAACTTACCTCGAAGGATCGATTCCGGAAGTGGCTTCCGTCGCAAACCCAAAATTTGTCCACCAAAGTTTTACTCAATACCTCATAATCGTGTGGCCGAAGAGGGCGAGACAGTACGTTTTCAATGTGCAGTGGCAGGTCATCCTATGCCTTGGTGTGTTTGGGATAAGAATGGTATCGGTATTACCTCAAATACAAGAATAAGCTTGAAGGAAAAAGATGATGTGAGAATCCTGGAGATCGCGGGAGTGACACTCGAAGACATTGGATTATATCGAGTAACGCTAGAAAATGACATTGGGAGAACTGAGGCAACTGCTCGACTAGAGATCATAAGTGAGTAAGCTATCACATATCACTGTACCTGAATAGAGTAATACATATAGACTACATATTAACTTTTTAAAATTTTCATTATTTTTTTGTAATTATTGTAGAATATAATTTAAAATGTACAGACATTGATTTAATAATTTAATAATTGGGTATAGGATAGGTGAATAGAATATAGACAAATAATGCATAGGAATAATATTTGATGATAGAATTATTATTGTTACTGAACAATAAATTATTCTTTTTTGCATTCAATAATTGTGTTGTTAATAGATGAAAAAAATTTTCACGCATTTTTAACTTTAACGAAATTTATTAATATTTACAATTGTTTATTATCTATATATATTATAGAATATCTATAAGATAGGTAAGAAGTATAAATATCTTATAGAAAATTTAAAGACGTACCTTAACATTATATATGATTTTCTTTATTTTTAATGATTATAGCAACATTTTTAGAATCTAATATATATTTATGAATATTGATTATACAGTAACTAAAGAACAAAAGTGGTATATAATATCATAAAATCTACGTGCAATTGTACATATATATTGTATTATATTGCATTATATTATATATAATTATATTTGAAATATCCAATAAAACACTTAAAAATAATAGAATGAATAATTTAATAACAAGAAATTATTTAATCATTTCTTTATACATCTGAATATATAAATAATAAATTTAATTATATAAATTTTATTCATAAAAATATTTCTTAAATATAATAAAAAATGTCCAAACCACAATATTTTTCCATCTCAAAACTTGGTATATTATTAATACATTCATTTGTAATTTTTTAACCTACAAATTGATTATTTTATAATTATAAGAATTGAAATAGAATTACAGTTTGTTTATAATTTGCTTATAGTTTTACCACTACACAGATGCTGCTCAATGTTAATTGTATTGTTCATACTTAATTTTGTATCAATATTCATATAAGACAGATGAATAGGATTAGTCACACGTGTCCATTTTTCAGAAATTAGATTAGATATAGTTGATGTGGGCATCCTGTATACGAAATATTTTCAAATATAATAATTCCATTGGTAGTCTAATATTCTTTATCATAAAATTTTATACACAAAAAACGAATGAAATATCAATACTTTTTTAATTTAATTTTTTTTTAAAATAAATAACGTATTTTTCAATTAAAAAAAATAAATATAAATCTGAAAATATAACCTATACTAAAATAATTTCATCACTTACCCATTTTTTGCAAAATTTGTCCACATTTCTATCATTTGTTCCATTACTTTATAACTATTGGTACCCCTCTGCAGGTGATCAATACCCAATGTATCAAAATAGCGCATATAAAATAAGTATGGAACTTCGTCAAAATGAGAAGCACCTAAATTCATTTTAAATTATCAATAATACATTTTGAACAAAATAATAACTATTTTTTTTATAAATTTTTCTTTATTAAAATTTTTGAGCTATAATTTATAGCTAAGAATGTTTGTACTAAATTACTTCAACATTTTTTCAATAAATTTTACTTTTTCATTATTTTATATAATTACTTTAGATACATAATTTTGTATCTTTAAATATATTAAAGAGCAATTAACTAAATACATACACATCAAATTTTATATATTACATTTCATTTATTATATTATTATTATTTTTAATAATAAGTACCACTAATATTTAATAAGTATTATTTTTATTCATTTTAAATAAAAGTATCTACTACTGAATATTATATAATTTTAATTCAAATTTAATTATTTATTGATAAAGTATTTAATAGTACTAAAATTAGAAAATTTAGCAACACCTAATTAGTGGTCAATATTCAAGTACTTAGAAGTTTTATAAGTAAAATATCTTGAATTAAGTATAAGCTAGAGTAAACATACATTTTTAAAATTTTATATTATATTTGAAAATCTATAGATAAACATTTTGAAATAAATATTTATAATTATTGTTTTTTATATCACACGTGAATTAATTTTATTTAAAGCTTAGAAATTGCTATTATTGTTCAATTAGAATAATTTAGACTGCATAATTAATTATTTTAAAGTAAATTAATTTTATTTAATACTTATATTAAAGTTAGTTATTTTGGTTAAATGGTATTGAAAGCATTTGATAATCGGAAATCGTACATCGAAACAAAATAGAATGAAAACAATTAAGGGAGCTCAATATTTTAAATTCGACTTAATTTAAAAAGAACATCGTTGTTATGAAAAAGAGAATTAAAAACGTAAGAAAGAAGGGTAGTACAAAGGAATTAACTAAAGAAGGAAAGGTTACAGAAGAACCAAGGGAACTATGCAAATGAAATATCGAGCTAAGTGAGAGGGAAAATATGAGAATATAAGTGCTAACGGGTAAAGAGGTAGAAAGACATTTTTATATATGATATTTTAATATTTATCTATACATATTTTATTCATTTACTTGTCAAATATATGTTTTTACCTATGCTTTTATCTTCTACTTTCCAGTCTCCTATTATTTTTCAAGCAATCCCCCTATTCCCCAGCTTTTTATATTTTATTTTTTATTCAATACCAATATATATGCTCTTTCACTATAGTTTTATTATTTCCTTTTTTCTTGTTTTTATTTTTTTTTATTAACTTTGTTTTTCCAAAACTAATTTGATCTGAACTATCCTGCACATCATTTGTTTACTAATTCATTATTAAGTTGCCACTATCAATGAATTTTCGTTATACTCACCTTGAGAAGTGGTCAAGTTTTATTTTTAAATAAAATTAGTAAATGAAACTATCGAATAAATATAATCATGACTAGCATTGGTATAAAAGCATAAAACTTTTAATAATTTATTAGAATAATGTTTAGCTATCTTTGTCAACAGTGTTCATTATTTTACGAATCATTGTACACAGAAGTCAGTATAAGTTCATTTGGAATGCAAATTATAATTTCGGTAACTCTCAATTAATAGGGTATCTAGCAATTTCATTGAGATTTACAGTGGAAATTATAAAGTAATCTATATAGATAAAAGGATAATCTTTAATTTGAATGCATAGATTCTTATCATAAGATTTTTTAATAAAATCCATATTTCATTACATTATAAAAATATCTATTATTTAAGTTGTTTATTATTTCATAATTTTATTTAATTATCATACCAATAATATAAGTAGGATATTTATTAAACTTTAATTAATTACTAAAGAATTTTCGATAAAAAATGAAAACAATTTTGAAATTATTGAAAAACTATGTTAATAAATTTAAGTATTTAATTTGAATTATTTATTATTCTTATGAATTTCATAAGAATTGATCATGAAATTAATTGATTATATTACTTAATTTCGATCATTCAATTCATTAATACAAAATGAACTACATTCATGTAATTACACTATTTTAAATACATTTGGAAACACATTCAAAGAAACGAGTATTTTAATAAATATATATATTTTTTCATAACCATTTGCATTATTAATACATCGTAATTAATTTATTCTAATTTATTAATAATATTTCAAATTAAATTATTAGTATAGCGTCAGCAAAAGAAATGAATAAATTATAAAGTCTAAAATGTTCCATTTTTTACAGATACTTTTTTTCTAATTCCTAATAAAAAAAAAACAATTAGTTAATATTGACACTTACATATTCAATATTGTCTTTAAAAGATGTTTTATGTAACTATTCACTTTTTAAAAATTGCTTATTAAAAATTTCCTTAGGTTAGATAATTATTAATGTTTATAAAATTTTTTAAAATATGTAAATTTAATATAAGAATTAGAATAATCGATTGTATTCGAATAATTTTGCCAACAGGAAAAAGTACAAATTTATTATCTTTGAATAAATACAATGATTGTTTAATAAATTAGTGAACATTATAAATATTGTAAATAATACCAGTTTTCCATACAATACCACATTTTAACTATTTGTTCTTATTCAATTTTTTTTTAATGCAAAGCATTTAATTGTAAATACAATTTACAATAAATATTATATTAGTTAATATGTTATAAATCTTCATTTTATTAGTCAATTAAAAATTATTATAAAATTAAAATTATTAAATTTGAAAATAACTTTTTTTGTTAAATTAAATTAATTTTAATACATAGTATATATATGCTCAAATATGCTTAAATTATACGTAATAACAATATTTGAGATTATTAATATAAATAAATGACAAAAGCCATTTGTTTGAAGTACATTTTTATTATTTTAATAATTAATGTTGATACTTTATATTAATTAAATTATATATAACAAATTAATTTTTTTATACTTATTAATATATTTGTAACTTATTAGGAACTTATTATATAAAAAAAAATTATTATATAAAATGTTAAATTTTGATTTACCTTTAAGTGATGTTTGCACCATAAGTTTTGTTAACGAGAGGCCTTTATCATAACTGAATTTATAAAAATATATTGGCGCCAAATTTTGTAAGATAAGAAATTTTATGGTTATGTGACAGCCTAAACTAATATACATATCCCCCATCAAATCGATTAATTTATTTGAATAATTCTGTTCAGTTAATTGTGCGCAATTATATATTTCCCTTAAATTATATGATGTTAAATTATTTTTTTGTAAAAAGCTTAACAAATTAGGATGCATATAATTGTTAAAATTCTTGTCAACATCCCTCATTTTAGCGTTTTGAAGTGCTGAAAGTAATAAAAATAACTAACGAAATATAATTATTAATAAAATATAATTGAATAATTTATTTATTATAATTAATTTAAATTTTCAAATTTATCTCATTGAATAAACTGCATTGCGTAATATTTTAATATTATTTTAAATCGTTTAGGTATATGTTAGGTAAATTTTTTTTATCTAATTAAATATATTGATACACTATATTGGTGAAGTATTTACTTGCTAAAGAGTATATTCCTTCCCGGTTATTATATCCTAAGAGGACAGGTATATTCAATCCTCTCTGAATAGCTTCTGATATAGGTATTGGCATAAATGGATTCGCCGATTTAACATCCATTGCTGGCCCGAAAGGATATAGTAATTGCATCTTTTCCTAAAATAAAAGTTTAAACAAATATTAATTTTAAGATAAACATTATAAAATTTATATAAATTAACAAACAAATTCATTATAGTATAAGTATATTTTTATTAATCGAATTGTAGATATTTTTTATTATTAATTAAAGAAAAAAAGGAAGTGAATAATTAATTTTATATTATTATAATGAACAGTTTCTGTTTTTAAAAATATAATTATAGTATATTTTATTATTATACCTCTATGCTTCGTAATTTCTCTTGCATTTTAACTAGTTTGAAATGATCGATTGTTCTTAAATATTTAACGATTTCTTCAGATTTATTTGTCTCGTAGCCTAATGTTTTACATAAGGCATATGCATATTGTTTCGGGTTTGGTAACGATGCCCATGTGTTAATAGCTACACCACTTTGGCATATAATCTTATGTAGAAGTCCTGAGTGTCAAAAAGTGAATGAGTTTTTGAAACGGCGTGATGAAAATTTATTTATTTATATGGGATCGTATACCTTTTGTCATTGGTGATAATGCCAGATAGTGAACACACGCTGCTCCCGAACTTTCCCCAAAAAGAGTCACATTATTTGGATCTCCTCCATAGATTGCAATATTTTGTTGAATCCATCTCAAAGCCATAACTTGATCTTTCATACCTTGATTTCCTGGCATAATTTCATCTTCCAAATTCAAAAAACCTGTTTAGAACAGAAATGAAACTAGTAAGTAATCTTTGCAAAAAAATTAAGATTGAGATTTTAATACCAATTCTTATAAAAACATTCATTCAATAAAAAATTACATTTAATTAATATATTTTTATCTCATACCATAAATTAAAATATTTATGTAATATTTTCATTTTAAATGAAAGAGATTTAATCAATTACTTTTATTGCTTTGTATCTATTGTATTATTTTATTTTATATAATTTTATATAATTTTAATTACATATTTTTAAAGATAATTAATAAATAGTTTTTGAAACAAAAACACTTTTCTTTTATTTCAGGAAGAAATTAATATAATAAAATTGCGTTTATAATTTATTATTGAATATTTGAATTAAAATATCAAAAGAATATAAAGCATTTATTGACTTTCCTTATAGTACTTTATGTTATTTATTTTTCAACATTACAAAAATCAATGTATTCGAATTTCCATTTAGTCATTCATTATTAGTCATCATATCTTTATTATATTTCAAAATATTATAAGTGAGGTTTTTGAATGAATTAAAAAAAATTGTATATACATATTATGAAACTGAAATTTTAATACTAAATTTAACTATTATAAATTATAAACTTACTAAATGGAACTATTATACAGATAATTTTTATCATTTTTAAACAAATTTTTATTTTAACCGTATATCCTTCATTTTCTAATATTTGATATATATTATTTCTGCATTAATAAATGAATTTATTAGCCATTTACATTAAATTAAATTTTAAAAGAATTACCAAATACACCAAGTCTATAATTAATCGTCACCAAAACAATATCTTTTCTCAGTAAATAATCAGGACCATAAAGTTCATCGTCCCCAGAACCAAAACTGAATGCACCTCCATGAATCCACATCATAACCGGAAGATTTAAATTAGGCGTAATAGATTTGACGTAAATATTTAAGTATAAGCAATCATCAGATCCTACATATGATTGTTTAAATTGATCGAATTGAGCGCAAGGCGATCCAAAAATGGTTGCATCTCTCGTACCTACCCATGCTTCTGGTGGCTGAGGATCCTTTACATTATCATTTTTATTAAAAGATTATTTGTCTATAGATATTCAGTTTGTTAGAAAATATAATGAACCAAGAAAATATAATTTTCAAAATTAAAATTCTTTATTTTTTATATATTTTCGATAATGCTTTTTCATTACATATTGATATATTCAAAAATTTTGTAATATATGATTTACTTGTTATTAAAAACAGAAATAGTTTTATTATCAAATACTAAATAAATTTTTTAAATTAGACAATAAATAAATTTTTCTAAAGAAATTAATAAAATAAAGTACGCTTCTTTTAGTTGTTAAAAAAAGTGCTAAAGTGAAATGTCCAAAATTTTTGTTAATCATTCAATAATTAAATAAAAAACTTCTTAGATATTATAAACAAAAATTTAATTATAAATTATACCATATACTGAAAAATGTTGAATTTTTTGTAAAATATAGAAAAAAAGCACAAAAAACAAATACATTTAAAAATTAAGAATGAAATCGAAGGACAGGGTAATAAAATTCCTGCAAATGAAAAAACAAACGAATTGTCTAAAAATTAGCTAAAAGTCACTTGAGCATTACAATGTGTTAATAGAAATTTTTTATGACTGATAATAAATAATTTAAAAACTGTTAAAACCCTACCTTCTATAATATATTACTTTCAAGCTATAAATGTCACTCGCCTGAAATCTAAGTTCGCCAATTGGTGGTTTGGCATACGGTACTCCTTTGAATGCATAATACTCAAAACCCTCAACACTTTTTTCAATAGAGCCTCGCAAATGTCCGCAAGAGGTTACAACGACTGGTTCGGTCATTTCAAGCTATGCTATTACACTGAAATTCATACTTTATATTCCCAATGTTCTTATAGTCAACAGTAATTTGAATACAGTGAGATATTTACATTGAAAATGTATTTAGAAACATCTATGCCTTTTAAAACATATATTTTATATATATTTATTACGTTCGATGATCATTAACCCATCAATGTTGAATAAAATGATCTTCGATTAATTATTACTTAGAGTATATTAATAAATATTATCATCATATAAATTTTCGGCATATGATTTTGTTTTCATAAATTTTATTCGTATATTATGAAGTCAAAATTATTTGCTTATACAAATTCATGTTAATACCGATGAATATTTATCCATTGAGAATCAATTTAATTGCTTGCATTTTATGAATACATGTAAAATGGATTAAATAAGAAAATTATATTATCTATAGTCTTTTTTTGTATATTATTTTTACACTATTAACAATTAATTAAAAATGTATAACGAATTTTTGTTATTTACTATTAACTTATGAATATAAATGACTGTACTTGTAAAACTATAAAATTATATATTATAAAAATTATGTTGCATATAGTCTACATTACAACAAATGAATCTGTATAGATAATTAAAATATATAATTTAAAGTTAAATTGTAAATAAAAATGGTTTCAATGCTAATATTAATTTAATTTACATCGAAATTCATTCATTTAAAAAAAAATAGTTTCTTAATTCAAATTGTGCGTCTTTTAAACAATTTCATCGGAAATGAAGTGTTGGGGGAACACTTGAATAATTTAAGTAGAGTGTCTTCTGTACAATTGTATAAATTATATTGATATATGGAATCTAATTTCTTCTACACAATTGTATATAAGCCGAAGAAATTTTTTTAATAACGTAATATTTAACATTAAAAATGATTTTAGTATTAATTATGCTTTGTTTTAAAAGAAATATTTGCTATTTAATCATAAGTAATTTACTAATAGCAATAGTAATTTACTCATTTTTTTTAATAAATATAAAGTAAAGGAAATAATTTTACTCATATGTCACATAATTTTCAAAAGAAATGGACGATATCCCACTTCATACTGAATTAAATTTCTAAATATTTGAATTTTATATTGTATATATATTATTAATAAAGCAATACTATTACTTCCAGTAAAATAATATGTTTCAGTTACACATGATATTAAATATAGATTAAAAATAATATTTATTTAAAAATATATAAATTTTACATACATATAATACATAATAAAATTTAATCATTAAATGTAACAGTTTTATATATAAAATTAATCTATTTATATCTTATGCTTTTAAATATTTTTATAATACTGCATGAAATATCCATTTTCTAAATTTGTTTTGCTTGAAATATTAAATTCTATTATTTACAGTTTATTTTTTGTATGTTTTTTTTTAGTCAGACGTTCATCGATGCTTATAGTATTTTCTATTTTTAATTCTTCATTTATGTTTAAAGTACAAAAATTTTTGTCAGAAGATACTGGCAACCAATCAATGGGTAACAAATCACATTTTACTGGAGTTGGTTTTCTGTATGTAATATAAGTAAATATCAAAGTCTGTTTAAGTATAATACTTTATTATTGTTTTTATTTAATTAATAATTGATTTCGAACTTACCCAAACTTTGCAAAATTCACCCACATTTCTGTTATTTGCTCGATAATTCTATATGCAGTTGTTCCAGGTTTTGCATGTTTTATATTTAGTAAATCATACATACGCATGCTAAATATATATTGTAAATCATCAAAATGAGCTGTACCTAAAATTGAAATAATTTCTTAATAAATATTAATGTGTGTTTTAAAATGGAAATTATCAAATACGTTTATATTTAAAGAATATAGAAAGATATAACTTGCGATATTAAGGTAATTCCTAAGCATCATTTATTTTCTCTACATAAATATTTTAAGTACAGTATAATATATTAAAAATATTAAATATTTAATTAATTTTATTTAAGACTTATTTAAGTAACAAACCTAAATATGTGAGATAAATTAAAAATAAATGATTTCTAAGATTGTTAGCATCATTAAAAAATTTTCATGGAATAATATCAATAATATTCATCGAAAAATATTTTACTATTAAACTTACTTAAAAGTACTGTTTCTCATTAATTCATTATTCATAATAAATTATATATTTTTCTTGTTTAAATTTAAAATGAAATAAATTAATTCATAATAAATATTATTATTATAGTTATTACAAAAATTAATTCAAACATATCATTCACCTGGTAATGTAGAATTTATAAATGATTTCATAATTGAAAATTCTTTATCGTAAGTAAAACGATAAAAATATGTCGAAGTTGAGCTTTTTTTAGTTTGAAAACTTATTACTCTGTGAATGCCTTCCAGAAAATGTAGATCTGTACAATATTCAATATATTTGTTAACATTCTTTAAAGACATTTTTTCATCACCGAAATAGTAATGCTTCAAATCATTTGGCGTTATACCAATTCTTTGTAGTAAAAGTATACTAACAGGGTTTAAATATTTTTCAAAATTGTGCTCAAATTCCTCCATAATAGAATCTTTTAATCCTACAAATATAATGTTAAAATTAGTTGAAAATATAGATTTGAATTAAATACTTTAAATTCAAATATAAGCATACACACCTGGTAAGATCATAATTCCTTCACAAACATTGCACCCTATGATAAGCGGTACATTAATCCCTTTTTCCATAGCTTTTAATGGATGTATTGGCATAAATGGTTCTTTTGACTTGTTGTCAACTCCTGGGCCAAAAACAACTGTGCAATATAATCTATTCTAAAATATTATTAATAAACATAAGAAGAATTTCATATTTTATTTATGGACAAATGAACTTGATATTTCCTAGAAGTTCTTAAATTAAATTCTATAAAATGCAAATCTATACATAGAAATTGAAATTTAAAAATCTAAAAATTTCATTATAAATTGAATCATTATTAATTATATATACCTCGTAAGATCGCATATTCTCCTGAGCCTGTATTATTTTAGTACAATCAATTGATCGTAGAAAGTCCACTAGTTCTTTAGGATCAGTGGAATCTTTTCCCAAATTTTTACATAATTTGTACGCATTTTGTATATCGGATGTGCATGCCCAAGGATTACATGCCACACCACTATGTGAAATAGCCTTATGGAAAAGACCTGACATAAAGAAATCATTGTAGTGTTATAGAACTTTTGTACTAAATTCAATATTAGTTTGATAATTCCTTTATTAAAATGTATTACTATCGAAAATTCTACCTGTCGCTAAACTAGAAAGCGTTAAGTAATGTACGGATGAACCTCCCGCACTTTCACCGAAAATTGTTATATTTGATGGATCACCGCCAAAATGTTTAATATTTTTATTCACCCATTGTAGAAGCATAACTTGATCTTTAAGGCCTTGATTTCCTGGCGCAACTTCATGTCCAAAATTTAGAAAACCTATAACAGAAACATTTTACTATTATAATTTTCAAAGTATATCACATTTTTAAATAAATTTTTGGAACAAATTTTTTAAAAATATTTTATATATACCGAGTACACCCAATCTATAATTAAACGTAACAAGAACGATGTCTTTTCTTAAAAGGTAATCTGGTCCATAAAACAAATCATCTCCACTGCCAAAGATGAATCCGCCCCCGTGGATAAATACCATAACAGGTAAATGATTATTAGGATCAACAAACTTTACGTAGATGTTTAAATAAAGGCAGTCGTCGCTGCCAACAATACTTCGTGACATGAAGTCGTTTTGAATGCACATAGGTCCAAAATTCGTTGCATCCCGCACACCTGACCATGGCTTGACCGGAATTGGATCCTAATAAAATTAGTTGACAATTTTAAATATAATTTTAAATATTCAAAAACCATAGTGTTAATCAATAGCCATATTATCTTGAATATTGATTTATATTTTTTTAATATATTGATATTATGCAAATGAATCAGTCGTTGTCAAAAATATTTTAATTTAAACATTTCAAATTGATTAAACGAATAAAGAAAGCTAACTATAATGTTTAATTTAAATTAAAACTAATAAACACTATACAGTTTATCGTACTATTTTTTGAATCACTGAATTTTTTAATACAATAAATTATTATGCTATGAATATCATATTGCATATTATATATATTTTTTAATGGGTTTGATACTGATATTTGCATGTTATACGACTTAAATGCATATGTTTTCTGAATTTTCATAAAACCAATACTAATTTATCACAAAAATAGTCAATTTCAAATGTTCAAAATACCTTATTTCGTTTAAAACATTATTTACTTTTAGTTGCTATTATTATTAAAAATCTTGGTATTTCTTTATGTTTTACCAGTAATCTTTGTTATGTAATTTTATATAATTTAGTATATAATACATTTATATTAATTAGTATTGTATAATTTATTAAAGATACAATGGAATTGTATGATTTGTGATTATTAGAAAATAAGCTAAAATATTTCATTATATTTTGATTCATTTGTTTGATATTTAATTCGAATTGGTTGCCATAATTATTACTTTTTTATTTTAATGTAATTTATATTATTGACAGATTAAAAAATTCATTCATCATGATTTTTTGAAATTTAATGTTGAAAATATTGTTATTTTCTCATAGATAACTTAATTATAAGAATTTCAATTAATAAAATTTAAATTTTATCATATACAATATATAAATAAATATAAAATCATTAAATAATATCTTTATAATGATGAGTATCAAAATAAATAGAATAAATTATGATAAATTATCGATCTAAACGGAATATAATTTTTGATGAATATGATTAATATCTCAAACAATTTAACAGTATATTTCGAGTAATTGTTTAAGTGGTATTTTTATACTATTCTTTTGATAAATAATGGATATAAATGTATATTTTCATATAAAAATTTGATTTATTAAAATATGTGCATACTTTCTTATTTGTCTATATTTGAAATTAAAAAACTCATTATTTAGAATTTCAGTTGTAAGTATCTAAAAAAGCATATTGTAGAATGAAATTTATCAATTAAATTTAGCCCTGTATATTCAAAATTTTAACAAATTCATATGTTTTAATGTAAAAATACATTATGTATTTAATAAGTACATTCATTTTTATTTTTTAAGAATAATAATATAATAAGTAGATTTTTTGCTATTAACACTATTTATGTCAATAATATGCGAATATTTTTTTTATAATAATAAATATAAATATTTCTACACTTGTATATATTTGGAATTTCGTTATAAATATGATTTTATTTTATTCTGCCTTTGATTGATATAACATTCTTTCATTCTATTTTTTCTCATCTGTAAGATAAATATTACAAAGTTGTATGATTTTTTTTACATTAGTTAGTAATAAAAACTACATTTTAATCATTAGTGCATTAGTAATTTTAGAATTAATATAGAATGATTATTTTCATATGAATGGAATCCATGTTAATGATTAAATTGGAGAAAAATAATAAATCTTAAGAGTATAACAAATATAACTTATCTATAATTATAACAAATGTAATTTCATATCAATATCTTTTGTTAGTATATAAACGTATAAAAAGATAATTATACTATGGCTGATAATAGTCTATTTATAAAAAATTAATCTATTATAAAAGTACTTATTGATATAAATGCTAATAGTTTTTGTTTTTGTAATAGTCATTAATACAGATGAATATACCGTATTCAAAATAAAAGTTATGAGCTTATTTCAATAAAAACATTATATTTATTTGATTTCTGACTTATAGAGTAAATGAATGAGTTAGAGTTATGGAAATTTGACGGTAATTAGCGAGGTGTCATTACTAAATTTCGAACAAACCTCATTTGCCACTATTCAAGATGTGGCTTTTAAACTAAGCACATCTTACCTTCTATTTACATGAATCGAATACGAATACCGATCAAATACTTAAATTTTTTTTTAATAATACACAGCCTAGAACGTATTCAAAATTTCATTACGAATGACTGGAAAAGTTGAAAAAACATGACGTATAATAAAAAGTAAAATATATAAAACTTACTCTGAATCTGAGTTGACCGACGGGCGGCTCGGCGTATGGTATACCTTTAAAGGCACAATAATCGTAGCCCTCGAAGCTGCGTTCAACAACGCCACGTAGACTACCGCAAGGAATTTTGACGACAACAGAGTTATTCATTATAGTTCTGGAGCACTGGCAAACGATGAGTGCCTCAACTCTGAAGTATCTAACTAGCCAGTAACGCACACGCTACGCTATTTTTCTCTTAAGCAATACTGACGGCACTAATGGAATTCGAGCAAGTGGCATTGAAATAACGGTTAGAGTCAATGGCTATTTCATAAATCGAAATATCCACCTGTTTTCATTCCGCTACTACACCTGCTTTCTATTTTATTTTACCTTTAACGGAGAATAGTCTTTTCGAGAATCATTATTAATTAGTGATATATTGATAAATATGCCTTGAAATAACTAAGAGACTTTTTCTCGCTTAATATCATATAAACGTATCGATACATAAACTATAATCGAGAACTGATTTTTATAATTTGGTAATACTATTGCCAACATAATAATGCTCAGTGTCTTCGCATTGTAAAATAAGAATTGACATAACCTATAAAAATGTAGTCAAATAAATATAACAGATTAAAATTTAATCGATTTAAATATGCAATTAATATATAAACTTGACAATTTTATAGTTCTGTATTTCATTTAACTTTATTATTTAAATAATAAATATTATATAATTTAAATATAAAATGTAGTGAACTTTTTCTGGTAATATTTAATACTAGAAACTAATTGTGAAAGTTAAACTTATGTATTATATTAAATATATGTGCAATTTAATATATAAATAACAAAAAATATATTTATGTATAATTAAGATTTAATTATACTGTAGATATTTAAAAATAAATTATACTACAATATTTCTACTATAATTACAGTGAAAATATCGAACATATTTATTTAAAGTCTGATATTTTCAATGAAAGTAAATGAGCATTGGTTAATATTTTATTAATGTTTGTCAAATAAGATTTTAAATATAGAAACGTGCATACATATTTGGGCTAATCTTATATAATATATTTTATATAAGCATGTTTCATTATTACATAATTATGAAAATGTTATATTATGAAATATAAATATTTATAACTTAAACGTATTTATTTAATATTAATACTCATTTCAATGAGTATATTTTGAATATTATTTGTGTATCTACATTAATGAATTTTGGATTTAAGTATTGTGAGCTAGATTTAAAAATAATTTTTTCGCAAACTTAAAACAACGAAGCACGATTTTGTATATGAAATTAAATTATGTAAATAATAATATTCTAATTTTTGATTACATTTAATTTCACATATTATTTTCTAATTTTCTACTAGAATTTTATACCTACTCACTTAAGTATGTAAGCATATACATATGCGCGCATATACAATTTTTAAATATAAGACGGAATCGTCAAAGTATCCATTATTGTTTTATATAATATAATAAAATTTGAAAATTAATATATATATATCATATTTTATAAACAATATTAATTTTATCTTAAAAATTCATAATGTAGAACATTAATATTGTTATAGTTATTCTTATAATTATTAATTATTCAATTTAATTAATGAATTTTAATCATTTATTCATACATTTAAAAAGTACTTACTTTATATTAGAATTAATGCTAAGAAAATTTATTACGTAAGCAATATTTAAAAACACATCTATTTATAAAGATTACTTTTATAAACTTTTGTAAAAATTAACGAACCAGAATTATATTTAAAATAAATTATTTTATAATTAACAGTATTATTTGATTTTTAATATTAAAAAATAAATTATGTGTATTTATATGTAGGTTCTACTTATTATATTAAAAAATTCAATATTCTTTATATTTGTATAAAAAATTGAATATATTGTAACTATAAGTGTTAAGCTGCTTAATACATTTATGTGCTGACGCTTAGTAAGATATGGTTAATTAATTATCCATATATGTTGATTATTGTTAGATTTCTTTTTGTGTTATTATGGACGTTCATGAGTGGTTAATGAGTCTATTCATTGTTAAAATATATTCATTATTAAAACATAATGTAAACTACAGAAAATTCAAGTCACATACAGTGGAAAAAAATTCTAATCTAATATATTGAATTCAAGTATAATAAATATATCTAATTATTTATCAGGATAAAGAGAAGCATAACTTAAAATATTTACGAAAATATTTAAAATGAATTTTTTCTTCTACTACTATCTGATGTTATTATCTGACTTTATGTTCTTCTGAATATAACAATATTTCATAGAACTTATTTTATTATACTTATTTTTGTGCGGACGTAATTAATCTTTTCATAGCACAGTAACAAATAAAGTGGAAAGTTGTTCAGACAAATAATCAATATTTATCTTCGATATATGAGAAAATCCTTTGTACAAAATGATCAAAACGGTATTTAATAAAATTCAAAATGTTACAAGTAACGTTTTTTTAAGCAATTTTCCTTGTTTTCATTATACGCACGCTGCCCGATATATTTATTGCAATAGTGTATTGTTTAAAAAATGTGAAGTAAAATAGGTAAGATCGTTTAATTTAAAAAATATTATTAATAATATATCAATACATACTTACATCATCAAATTTTAGTACTATTTGAAAATGATTTAATTTTACAAAATTTTGTTAAATGTAAATATGATTATATTATATCAACTAATTTTGAAACAGAATAAACAGTTAAATCATATACTCTAAATATGATTTATCATATATTTTAAAGTTATTTCTTATATATAATAATAAAGCTTTTGTTTGATTTTATTACCTATCTTTTATATATCTATAGCTGATGATGATTCGATTTTAGATTTAACAATTGTATATACTTAATAACATTTATATAAATATATAAAAGAATTATTTTTTGTCATTATATTTATCGAACAATAATAATATTCAAAATTGCATAATAAAGGTCGTACTTTAATTGTTTAATTACTTAATTACACAGTTTTTATGGTTAATCATTTAAATGTTTAAATTTGTTTTATCATATAGTCGTCAAACTAATAAATAGTCACAAATAACTTAATTTATAATTTATAAATGTTGTTTTCTCACCATTTTATTGTATCATTTCATAAATTTTACATATTAATACAATAATTAAAATAAAAGCAATATATATGTAATGTTTTTCAGATTAAATATTTCATATAAATTTTATGTATTTTAGATAACAAATAATTTAGATTTAGATTTTTAGATAGAAATATGTGCTGATCATTTAAGCAGCTAAAGAATGATGTCCAAGTCATGAAAAATTTGAATATAAATTTAGCAATTATAAAAAAAGTAATTCCGTTCTATTATTAAGAAATCCTTCGCAGTTTATTTCGAATATCAACAATTCATGCATATATTTCATAAAAAGCGTAGTATTTAATAAAACTGCAAATATATTGCTTTTACTTTTTATTCATCGTTAGTAACATCAATATTAGCTCATTAATTTTAAATGTTAATAATATTATATACTTACTCATGTACTTGTACAAATTCATTATCCTACAATAACATCTCTATAGAGCAAATTACTTAATTTCAATAGTGATTAGATTTTTCTATAATATTATACTTATAATTATTATTTAATAACATTTACAACTAGTATAATATTTTTTTGTGTATTATAATTTAGTTCTATTTAAAATTCATGAATTTTCAAAAAATACTAAACGGTATTTTAATATCCAAGAGATATAAATATTTATTAATATAAATATAATTGAATAAATTATAATAGTTGTTTTCTTATTATTGCCTTTTAATATAATATTTATTAATAAGTTTTAAATTCATTCTTACCCATAATTAACATAATTATTATCTACTGAATTATTCTTACTATCAAAGTAAAAGGATCAAATAAATTAAAATAAAATAACTTAGATATATTAACTTTTAGCTTTTTTTGTATCTTACTTTTATGACCAATAATAACAGAGATAGAATCCATTTTATAGTATATATATTTATTGTTTTATCAAGTTTATTTTAACATTACGATTATCACCTAATAAACGTTATATTTGAAAACTGTAAAACATACAAGTAGAAAATTATTAAGAATAATATACTTCTTTTATTAACATATATAAAATGTATCTTTAAAATTGTATGAATGCCATCGACAAAATATATATCTTTTCGTAAATTGGTAATCGTTTGATTGTTCATTTCTAATGCGATTTTCTTACCGAATATAACCATTTCAAAATTTTCCAAATTAAATTCTTTATGAGAAGTATTTTGAATTCAATGATATAATAAGTATAATGATTACTAGTAAAACTTTATTAGTTATTACAGATCCCTCTAGTAAGCCATTTTAATCTTTTCCAATGTTCTTAATCTAAGTTCATATGTACATTCACTTACAGGGCGAGTAGTATGTCGCTTTAGAATGTAACTCTAAATGAGAAATCATAATTTACTAAGTACTTCAACTGTGTAATTAAAAGACACTAATACGGCATACTTTCTATGTAGTCAAGGCCATAGAAAATGTTATCATCTGATCCATGTAAAAATCCAATATCTGTGCGAATGTTGAATCAAGAAAGAACTGAAATGAAGAAAGCCGTCTCATTACGAAATAATTCAGTTGTATTTCTGAAGTTAATTCTTGTTTGTAACTTATGGTTTGTAACTGGTGTTTATAATTCTTATAATATTGGAAAATGTTAATACATGTTGAGAAATAAATAATAATACAAAATAAAATGGTGGCAAAGTCGAAGCTTCATGATAGATTTGAAGGATTGTCCTCAATTAAATGAAGGTATCATTAAAATTTTATCAAAGAAAAATTGAAAACTATACGACAGAAAATAAACTAGATATATGTATATATATATATATATATACGTTTTATATACATCATGAAACCTACATCTCACGATATCTTATTTTTATATTTTTTATGCTTTAAGTTAATATCATAAAATATTAAATATATAATTAACTTATTATACTACTATTATTAATAAAAAATATTAAATAAATTGTAATTAATATATTCATAATTTAAGTATAATTTCATTGAAAAAAAAAAAAATAATATTAATCAAAACTATTACGGTGTACACTAAAAATAATTATTGTTTTATGGATTTTGATAAAAAATATTTTATTAAATTAAATATTAACTATATTTTATTAAACTATATGTCTTATAATTATAAAATAAAAAATAAAATTAAATATAAAAAATTTATTTATTTTAAGTCTTTACTTGAAAATAAAAAATAATTAAAATTAGTATACAACAGTAAATTATTATTTTCTATTATAAAAATAACAATTTTTTCATCTTTTTCAAGTAAAAATATATTATTTATATTTACTGTATTAAATATGTGAAGACAAGAATATATAATATATGTAAACTAAAATAAAAGTATGTACATTTATATATAATGAAGCATCTTTTATATTTAATGAATAATTATCCTATAATAAATGTAAAGTGCTATTATAATTGAATATAAGAATTTTTAACGAACCGACTAATTGTGCGATAGAGGCCATCAACCTGTAAAATAAAAATTGGAGTTAATGTTTTTTTTTTTATAATATAGAACTATTATTTTATAATTAGCTTTCTATACTATTATTTTCACTAATTGTTGAAAATTCATACATTTAAAACAATATGTATTAACTAGGTCGATGTATGAAAGTTCACTTTTGCTGGAGATTGATATAAAACATTAAAAAATACGTATTAAATAATATAAATTCTTATAATATCGGTTAGGCGGTTTATTTTTTACTGTTTACACAGAGCTTAATATGATGAATGGTAAATTGCTATGAGAGTGCATGATGTAAAGTTAGCATGAGATTTCTGTTTTCAAATTATCCTAAGAATTGTTTTGTTAGTTCGGTATTTCAATGCTTGAGAATTTTAATTTAGTATTCAATGCGAGAGAAATTTAGAATTTCTGTTATATAATTTTAAAAGTATGCAAGAAAAATATGTATTTATTAATTTTTATGATCGATCTATTTACCATTGATCTAAGAATAAATTTTTTTAAGTTACAATTCGTATAATAAATTAGTTAAATCGATCGAAATCTTAATTCATCAATTGGTCGTTTAATATATAGGATTTTCTTGAAGGAATAAAAGTTATGACCTTTTCAACTACGATTGAATTAATCACAAGTTGTCAATTAATACTTTGACGATAAGCTTTTTCATGTGGAACGCTTGAAATAGATTGAACTACATTGCAGACTGACAGATATTGAGCAATAATATTTTTCAAATGCTCCCATATCTTCCATAATTATTTACTGTATAGTATTAAGAGTCTACAATGTCTTATACTTTGAATATGATGCATTATCGACAATTTATAATTAATAACGATATCTATCATATACACTTTGATTAAATCAACCTTTCGTACATTTTAATAGTTATTTAATAGTTTATTCCTTTATATATTATTTCTAATATATATATATATTATTTTTGTAAATGTAAAATTATTTTTTGAAAAATACATTTATAGAAGATATAATAAACGATATAATTTATAGTATTTATATATTTTATGAAATAGTACGAAACCACCATTATTAAACTACATACTACCAAAATTATATATTGTTTCAATGATAATATTTGTTTATGTTTTTACTGTATATTAGCGACATAATTTATAGTAAATACGCCAATTAAAAAGAATTTGCTAATAAACTCAATAATAAGTCCATATTCGATATAATATTTGAAATTTGCTTAAAACCTAGTTTTTCTTTATACTATTTTATATAAATATATATATTTATTATACTATAATTGATCATTTTTCAATACATATATCATGATTATCGGATACCATAATTTATATAAAATGCATAAAAAACTTCTTTTTAATTATGTTTGCAGATCGAAATACCTTGATTCCGCGACCTATTAGAACAAGAAGCGCATCACCTCGAACATATCCAACTTTTAGTAGGAGTCTATTAAGTACGCCTACAAGATTCAATGGACGTTTGCAGTTGGAATGCGACATACGAGGTTCTCCAAGTCCAACTGCAATTTGGTACAGGTAAAATTGTTTATTATTTTCATCTATATTGCAAATAGTATAATTAAAATAAATACAGTGAACTAAGACTTATTAATACAACAGAGTTTTCACTTTTTAAAGACTTATGTATATATATTTATGACTTGGTGATCTATATTGAAAATACAGTGAAATTATTATTTTACACATGTATTATGTTTATATATCGCTATTCTTTATAAATAGAAATTATTTTAGTAGTTCATATATAAATTAATTCATTATGAATTCACAGTTCTTTATATATATATTGCATATCAATCAAGCACTATCTAGTGTTATCAAGTATGAAATATCATCAAGTAAACTTAAATTATCAATTGATAAAATATTTTTATTAGCTATTTCTTATACTAATAAGGATACATATTTCTTGTATATGAAATACGTGCCTGAATTTATAAATTGCATTAGTATAAAATATTTAATAAAATACTATAATAAACGACTCATATAAAGTATCGGAATATTTCGAAAATTAAAACTTAAATTTTTTTTCAATATTTATCAATGTTTATAAATTGATTTATCATTATTTTATTTTATGTATACCTATAAAGTCATAAAACTCGAAATTATAAATTTTCAGTATATTTCTTTAAGAAACTGTAATGCATTAAATATCTTTCAAGCAGTTTTGTTATCTTTCATATAAAGATATATGTTATGATTATCAAGAATGTATGCATCATTGCTGATGTAAGTGATAATTATTTGTTTAGAAACGGAGCAAGACTCGAGTGCTCACCCAGAATAAAAAAGTCATTTGTTGGTGAGCGAGCTGTCCTTGAGATATCGAGTGTTAAGTATAGCGATGGCGGAGAATATGTTTGTGAAGCGAAAAATTTACTTGGCTCAACTAGGAGCAGTTGCAAGGTTTACCATCGAGTTTCTATTAAATCAATACACACCGATTTTTAGTTTTTAAATTTCATTTTATAGAATAATATTATTATTCATATCGTTTCTTTTTATGACACAAAAAGGAATAAAAATGTTTTTTATTGAATTTAAGATTCATATGTATGATCAAATGTGTTATGACTATTGCCATTAATTAGCTTAAGTATTATCAATGTCTAATAATTAAAGATAGAAATATCAAGTCATCAAAAATATATTTTACCTTCATGATAAAAATGTGTAATGTATTCAATAATATTTAATAATATTACATTTATGTTAAAAAATTTAATACCCTTATTTGTAATTTAATTAAGGTATATGTTTAAATAATAGTGATAGTTTACATATTTTTAATACTCGGTTAAAAATTTTAACAAATCTCATTTAAATGTTAATGAAAATTATAATTTACTTTTTAGATATAAAGCAAATACTTTAATAATACATGTTGATACCATGAAGAAGATAATTTTTATATTTAATTTTCTAAATAATATTTAAAGGGAATAAAAATATTAATTCATTTATATTAATGGCAATAATTTCACGATAAAAAATATAATAGAGTAATTTTTTTATAAATAATGTAAATAATGTTAATAATAATAATTAAAGTTTATTAATAATAGTTGTGACAGAATTACAATAAATCGAATATAAATTTTCTAGTAATCTTAAAAAAATTTAACTTTATGAAATCATTTAAATTATAAAAAATATGTCCTAAGTAAATTTACATTCGGTTATCTAACTACGTGTGTAAATATTTCCTACTTTAAATATAGTTGTATTTATAATTTGCAAATATTACATTGCTTAATATCAAATATTTTAAAAGTAAAATGTTAATTCCTATTTTTAAAAATTACTTAACAAGGTCGACATCATCTAATAAAGAATAATGAATAATTTTTTAGAAAAGAATAGTAAAAGTGGAAGTATCAAAGATCATGCAATGAAATTAAAATGCAGCTTAAAGCTTATTTTCATTTTATAGGTAATAATACTAAATACTGATGATCCATCGACAATGGATCGAGAGCCGCCAAAATTTCTGCAGCCCATCCTTAGCAAATCTATCGTGATGGAAGGTCACTCGTACGAGTTACAAGCAAGGCTCGCAGGTACACCTCCATTTACACTCCTTTGGCTCAAAGACGGGCGTGAGATCGCCGAGAGTGATTGTTACCGATATATTATCTATGAGGACGGTGGCATTGCGCTTAGATTTCTTAATATTCATCCCCATGATGCCGGTGACTACATGTGCATTGTGAAAAACATATATGGCGAAGTCACTAGCCGTGGTCTATTCATTGTTCAAGGTATATATATTTATAATCCATTTTACATTCATGAAATATGTCTATGAAAAATATTATTCATCTCATTTATCGTTAATCTAATTATTCTTAAATTATAAATAACAAGTAAATAAATAAATATATAGATAAATTGCAACTATACTTAGTTCATTTTTATTTTAATATTAAAGATGTTTTAAAATTAGCGAATAAATTTAGCTTTATTTAATAAAATATATAGTTTTATTTAAAATAATTAAAACAAAATATGTATAATTTATGTAAATTGTTTTTACTAAAATAATTAATAATTTCTGTAGATTACAAGAGTGCATCATCAAATTCGATACTAAGTTTTGTAAAGACACCAGTAGCAGTTTTGGCTGCAAAGGGTGAGACAGCGTGTTTCTGTGCGAGAATTCAATGTAATCGTTCGATTGATATCGATTGGACGATTAATGGAAAAAGCGCACACGAAGACTGTAGATACAAAGCAAGTACATTTAAAATAAAAAATTACAATTTTAATTATAAAATCACCTTTATATAAATTGAATTAAACGTTGGTGAAATAATAAAAAATTTTATCATTATTTAGATTTTTTTCACAAATTAATGAAAATTATGAAAAATATTAATTTATATCTGAAAAATTACGAAAGCTTTTAAATCAATAAGTATTCGAAATAATTGTTTCCGTTTGATTATGATATATTTAAGTATTTTTAATCAATTATTCAAAATCAAAAGTATAAAGTAATTACAATTATATTAAAATAAATTATATTTAATATTATGATATAAAAAGTTTATTGTAAGTTACGTAATTATATAAGAATATATATGAAAATATTGTCATTCTTTAGTCACAATTTTCAATGCAGTATTATTACAAATTAATTGAATAATAATTTAAAATACTAATAGAAACAAGTTTATAAAAAAAATATTCTTAAATGTTTTTAATAATTTAATTATGAATATAATTGATAGTTTATTTTAGTTCGATATAAATATTCGATAATTTTACTGTATGGAAACTGTCAGTTTGAATAACATAATTAATTTGAAGTTATCGATTAGAAAATACGTGTTTTGTTTCGTTCATTAATAATATAGTTTTTATGTATAAAAATGTAAAGAAGTTTCGGTTTTAGAATAATTATTAAACTTTGTCTAAGTTTGAGTTTTAAATAATTTTGGAACAAATCTTTTAATCCTATATACAAATTTTAATATACAAGCTTTCTTCTTAAAAATTTTTCTCTAAGTTTAAAATTGTTTTATGCTTACAGACCATTCACCCTTTAGCTAAACTAAATGCTTCACTAAATTAATGCAATGTAAATCATTATTCAATTATAAGTATTATAATTCCATATCGATCTATATTTCGATATCGTATATATTTTCATTTTTTTCGATATTTATATTTATTTTTGATATTTGTATTTTTTTAAGCATGATAAAGTTTGCATATATTTCATATAATTAAAGATCATTTAATTATTTAATTTTTTCTCAATTGAAATCCAATAATAATAATAATAATAATAATAATAATAACAATAATAATAATAATAATAATAATAATAATAATAATAATAATAATATTGTAAAATTAAATGAAAACAAATATTGGTCTTAAGATCGAAAGGGATGGCTCCACAAGCATATTAAGAATACCATCGATAACACATCGTGACTGCGGCGAGATACGTTGCATAGTATCGATAACTCGAGGACCATCTATAAGCTCAAGTACCCAATTGCGTCTCAGGTCGACTTCATCTTTTCGAATTCGCGATAATCTGTTGAAATACCTGGAGCCGAGATCACGCAGTTTGCCAAGATTGAAAGAAAATGCTACTCGAAAGACAAATGAATTATCAATGCCGAATTTACATGTGAATAAGAATAGCGTCGATCCAAAGAAGAGAGCCTCGAGTTTCACACGCTTAACTCCAAAACCAAGAAATTCTCCTGAGGATTACGAATACGAAAAATATTCAACTGATAATAAATTAACCAATGGTCAGATTCGTGTAAAATCTATTGATAAAATATTAAAGGATGAACGAACTATTCGAGAAAGCCCATGTCGTGAAAAGAAACTAGGAAAGAAATCTCTCACGAAAAAGCTGGATTCTACATCAACGGAAATTGTTGAAATAAATATTGAAGATGTTGGGAAAGTTCATCTAAATGCAGTACAAGTAGAAAAGGAATGTGTGCCGCGAAATACGGATGTTAATAAGGAAATCGATGCAACTGTAGTTGAAATTCTACTAACAGAAAATATCGTTACTCCAGTAAACCTAAGTGAAGAACAAATTAATAAAGAGAAAGAACGAAAATTTCAGCAATTAGTTTCATCTATTAAAGAAGCAAACAAAGAACGCCTCTCTATAAAAAGGATCTCAAGTTTTAAAAATTCTCGATCCAATTCTACTATAGATATTAACGAATGTGATCTGAGTACTCATAAGAACAATACTAATAATAAGAAAAATGAAAAAATTACACCACATATTAGTAGAGAATTATCATCTTTATCTGGAACAAATAACCATGAGGTGAAAAATCGTTTGATAAAACAACAAAGAGGAATTTTCGTGAATCGTAAACAAGTACCAGCTTTGGTTCTACGACCACCTGATGATGTAATAACGTTAAGGGGATCAACAATTGTATTGGAGGTTGCATACGAAGGTCATCCCGATCCAACCGTCAAGTGGATGCAAGCAGTAAGTTATTCGCATATTATTTAAGTGCATGACTATATATGACTATTATTTAGTGCATTATGCAATCGGCGTAGCACGTGTATTAGAATTTATAAACTGAATATCTTTTATTGTATCTATTAACGATATATAAAAGGATGAATGTAATTATTTATTCCATATTTCTCATTCTTTCAATACCCAAATTTGAATATTTTTCGTTGCAAAATTATTTAATATGAAACATTACACAGCAAAGTCATATAAAAAACGAATATAAATTATTAAAATTGTAATGAATTTAGAGTCAAAGTTTCAACAACTTTCTAGTAGTAAGAATTTCTGACCTCACTCTTAAAATTTAATATTAATCATTTGAAGTTCAATTTTTTAATCCATATTCTATACATGAATACATAATTTTAAATAATTTAAACCGATGACGATGTATACTTATATCTGTCTGAATATTAATTAATGATGCATTTGATTTACCATTATTACAATCTTCTATATCATTTGTTGAAAAACCAGTACCATTGAAAAAGCAAATGTATTTAAAAAGTGAAATTTTTGATAAACACTCAAAGTATATTATTTATTGTCAAAAGTTTCATGATTTTTATTATATATATATATCTATATATATATATATATATATGTATGCGCGCATTACACGTATGTATGCTACCTTCGAAATAATTTAGAAATATAAACATTATATGTCACTAATTTATAATCAATAATTTTCAATAATCTGTAATAATACGTATTATAGAATTATTATTTTAAAGTAAAAGCAAATTAACATTTTCTTAAATTTATGAAATCGAAAAATGAATGAACATTTCATACAAATCATTCTTTAAATTTCATTTACTTTGTATTTATTCAATATTTTATTAAATAATTTATACCATTTAAAGTAAAACTTCATGTTTAAAAATAAATCCCATTTAAATGTAAGTAATATACAATTATTCTAAACTGATAGTTGGTTATTGAGTTTATTATTCAAGTATGCAATTAATAATTAAAATGTAATTTCAAATAGCCATGCTATTTTACCATTCTGTATACGTCATTTATACACGAAATTTACTATTGATATCAAACTTTCAAAACAAATTACATAATTATTTAACTTTCCCTATTTGTACGAAAATCTTTGTACTTTGTAAATGGTAAAAAATTTTTACACTTCTACATTTATAAGAAGATTTTCACAAATAGTGATTTGTCAATAGAATAAAGTAGAATATTCATAAAAACCTACATGAAAATAGAAACATTTTTGTGAAGCTACTTTTAAATATAGTCTCATATTAATTTTAAAATGATTATGAGTATATTAAATATCTATTTTTCAAAGGTTATTATAATTCGTAAGTATTTATCCCATTTAATAGAATAATTTCGAATCACGAATTTGCAGTGCTGCATCATTGTAATTTTATTTGTAAATTATTATGTTTTTGGGGATAAAATTTCTAATTTCTATTATATTTAATGGTTTCTTTATCTCTGACAATGTCCCTATAGATCTATATAATAGAATACTAATTTTTTATTCTCCATGATACATTTATTATATTATATATCAAATATTATATTATGGATAGAAGGAGAGAGAGAGAGAGAGAGAGAGAGAAATAGTGATGAACATTAATTTAGAAATCTGAAACAAATTTAATTCTATCAATAAATGTAATATTAAAAGTTTGGCTACTAATGTCACTGAAATAATAAACATCATTAAAATCAGATATTTTAAATTGTGCTGAATGTAGTATAAATATTCTTATTTATTCAAATATTTTCGATTAAAAATATTAATTTATTAATAATTTATTCGTACGTCTTTATGAAAATGATATAATACATAATTTTTAAATATTCTTGGAATTGAACTAGTTAGACTTTGTCTATTCATAGCAAATTTCAAAACCATTTGCCTTGACCAAAATCAATTTAAATAATCTTATACTTATTAAAAAATAAGAATTAATCTATCGTACTATATGTTACGTTTTTACACATTTATATTTTATTTGTTTTTAAAAAATAATGAATATATATATATATGTATAATTTCAAAAATAAACACAACAAGCAATATTAGTTTTAGAGTGAAATATTAATATGCATAAAATCAAACGAGTCATTTAGTTCGCCTTTTCCTATTGATTATGTTCTATCGATGCAATGTATAATTTTATAAATTAAATGAGTCATTGATTTAGGAAGCATACTTATTGATAAGAAAAAGTAGTGGTATAAAAGCAAGTCTTATTAAATGAACTGGTCAGTTAAATAAATATAGTTGCTTGAAATTATTCATAAAATTTGTTACGATTTAATCGGGTAAGTTTTTTTAAGAATTTTTTTAAGAAAGCCTTAAATTTTGTTCTATATATAGCTCTATAAAGCTATTAAGAAACGTTCATTATTTACAAATTTATTGTTGAATTAGATTTAATATATCTTACATTTATAAATATATCTACATATTAATAATATTATAATTTAATATTTTCATTATCATGATTAATTACAAATTCAAACAAATGAAAAGCTTTTGATAAATAAAAAATTACATTATTTTTGATGAAATAAATATATTTGAAGTCCTTAAAAATTATAGTACAATAGATAGTATTTGTAACTATATTGATATTTACTTACATTAAACTTTTATATGTTTAATACAACATTCAATATATACAAATTGCTATTATGTACAAATTTTTCTTATTTAACCTATTTTATTTTGCGATAGAAAATTCTATTTACATTTGAATTTAAATTATAAAATTGCTATTTAGAATATTTTAATAAAAATTTGAAAAATTATCGCTCCACTGTAAGTTAATTATTGGATATGACACTATTAGTGAAAACCAATTAATAACATTTTTGTAACAATTTATGATAGACTTTACTAAGTATATTCAAAAGATAGATAAATTATATTTCTTCTCATTAATCGTGTTAATCGTATTCAAAATTATGGTTACTAATGCAATTACAATAATAGATTTATAATTTGAAATTTGAAATTTTTTTAAACAGAATTCAGTCAAACTATAAAAATGGCATTACAACGAATGCTTCTTATCGCTTTTCTCGCAACCTCATATTTGTCTATCATTGCGGCAATTTCAAACGACTTAACCGTTGGTGCTCGAGAGTCCGGTGATTATCTACTGCAACGCGAACATGTAGTAAAAGAAGAGAGTTACTTGGGAAAAATAGTCACCGTTACAAAAACTTTATCTGGAGATGGTGTATCCAGAATTACGCATATTAAAGCTCTAGATCAGCATCAGAATGGTTTCGGTGCTCATCCCAGTGTCATTGCTGGGGGGATTGGACAATCTTATGTTACTCTGAAGTTTGAGAGTGAGCGATTTCGCAGTATTGATTTTGTAATAGAACTCTATGGAAAATAAAAATAAAGTTACAAAATAATATTTACTAATAATTGATAAATTAAGAATTGATTAAAATAAAATTGATTGTAAATTATTTTATTGATAGAAATATAATTTTAATACGTAATTTATGTTAAATAATCATCTTTCGTTTACTTTACTTAAATCAAACACATTGGTTCACTGTGCTAAAAAATTCACTATAGTTGGCAATTATATTAAGTATTTAATACATATTTGTTCAATGCATAAATAAGAATAAATACAATTAAATTGATCTTTTTTAACTAAAAAATTAATTTTTTTTATATTCAAACGTTGTTATTTGATTCAATAATTATAAGACGTTAAAAGCATTTGGAAACTCATTTTTCAAGAAAAAGTCTGATTAAAAAATAATATAGTTAGATTATAACATTATTTTAATTGTTATTTAATAGTATATATTGTTATTTATTTTAAGCTTTAAAATATTAATAATTACAAAATTTAATACAGAAAATGAAATTGTAATTCTTACAAAATTTTAAATGTTATCTACGACATTCTATATACATTGTATTGGTAAATCGGTGCTTTATTGAATATACTGAATCATATCAATGTAACATTTTTACCTTCACCCGATTTTGAATCCAATTTCAAATAATTATTTTTCGATATTAAATAATAAGAAATAGCTAATATTCTGGAATATGAATATTTGATTTTAAAATCAATAGAAATCATTATTATATTTTTTAATTAATATTTATACAATAAATGTTACTTATACTAAACCGTTTAAGCAATAATTAGATAGAATATAATTAAATTTACTGTTTCCAAAATCCTAACAATTATATTTCATAAATTATTAAATAATTTAAAATGTTTTTATTTACATTATAATTTGAATTTTGAAAGTAGTTCTTTTTTTTTATTTGAATTTGTCAAATATATTGTAAATTTTATTCTAATAATGTTTTAATTTTACACTAGTACAAAGTGTTTAGCATTAGTTATTTGGAATTACATTGAATTCATTATTTGAAATTCACATTTACATATATTATGTATTTCGACATGTATATAATATATTAATATATACAGTATACAAATAGATATATATATATATATATATATAATATAATATATAAATAATTTTTTTTTTTTAAATACACATATATCTTATATTTTTTAACATAAATGTTTTCTCTGTAAAATAAAATTAATAAAATTATGTGCATAAACATTTCTTTTATTATATAATACATATAACTATTTTTAAACAATATTGAGTTCATAATTAGAACTAATTTTCTTTTGTTTAATAATACATTCTTTATATGTTTATTTTTATAATAGTAATATAAATTTGTAGTGTTATAATACTTTGAATATATATAAATTGAATATTGAATATATAAATAATTAATAATACTTTGAAATAATTTGCTGATTGTGGTTTTTTTCTTTTATTTTCTGTCTATTTTAGTAACATAAATGATCACAAAAATTAAAAATCAATCATTAATTCAGTTTTGGTGTAATGCTAGATAGTAAGATAATGAGTATTACATCTTTGCATAATATCTTAGTATTATA